TCAACTCCCGTAGCTGCCTTTGGGCATTTTTCTACCCAGGACAACTTTGTATACTTTCCCCCTACCGCTTCCATTTGTAAGCGAGAAGTGGAAGCCAGGGGTTTTAAAGGTACTTTTGCCTGTGTTTTCAGTCAGCAGGGTGGGAGAGCAACGGAGCTCGTTCATCCACGAAGCAGGCAGGCATGGACTGGGGAGGTGGAGCACCTCATCAGGACAGTGGAAGCCTTTGCAAGGACTGTGCCTATTCCCTGCCCACGGAGCAAGGAGGAAGTACAACCCATACAAGGTATCTTTCCCCACTGATGGAGATCTTCTGGCTTTTAAGTCTTATGACAGTTTGTAAAAATTGATTACATTTGTCAACACTGAGATATACCCTGTAAAAGAAACACAAAGGTACTCAAATAAGATACGGACAAAGCAACGGCATGGTCAGGGGCCACCAAAGAAGAGACTGTCAGTGAAAGCTTCATGCCGTCAGCAGAGACTCATTTTTCATTAAAAGGAAGCTGAAATGGAAACACAAGAGAGATCCCTAGAGGAGGCTTGGAAGCTACTGAAAACCACACTAATTTTAGGAGCCCAAACAGAATGCATTCCACAGGTGAGGAAAGGCACTGCCAAATCTATAAGAAGGCCTGTGCGGTTAGCAATGCAGGTCAAGGAAGCTATAAAAAGTAAAAAGGGTTCTTGTAAAAAGCGGAAGGTCTGCCCCAATGAATTAAACAGGAGGAATGACAGGCTCTGGCAAAATAAACGTAAGTCAATATTTAGGCAAGCAAAAAGAGATTTGGGGGAGCAGATTGCTAAAAACATCAAGATAAACATTAAAAAAAATATATTTGGAGCAGGAAACCAGCCAGAGAAGCAGTGGGGCCTTTGGATGACAAAGAAGTAAAGGAAGATGGAGAGATGGCAGAGAAGCCCAATGAATTTTTTGCTTCTGTATTAACGGTGGAAAGTGTGGGGCACGCACCCCATGCCACAGCCACTGTTTTCAGGAAGGGAGTCTAAAAAACTGAGCTAAATTGAGGTGACCAGAGATACTTGTGGTAATTATTATTGCAGAAATTAAAAATAAGTAAAGTCTCCATATCTTGATGGCATACACCCGAGAATTCTCTGGGAACTCAAATGGGAGATAGTTGATCTAACTAACCTGCAAATGTAGCCTATCACTAAACTCACCTGCTGTACTCTGGAGAGTAGCAAATGTTACACCAATTGTTAAAAAGGGATCCTGAAGGGAACCAGAAAATTACAGGCCAGTCAGCCTAACATCTGTTCCTGGGCAAGTTAGTAGAAACTGTAATCAAAGACAGAATAATTAGGCACATAGAGGAACAAAGCCCGCTGAGGGAAATTCAGCATGGCTTCTGCAAAGGGAAGTCCTGCCTCACCAAAACTTTTGGAGTTCTTTAATAAACAAGCGTGTAGATAATGGTGATCTGGTAGACAGTCATGGGATAAGAGGATGAATTCTCTTATGAATTAAAAATTGCTTAAATGACAGGAAGTAAAGAGTAGGAATAAAAACAGGTTGCTTACCTGTAACTGATGATCTTCGAGTGGTCATCTGTGCAGTCACGCGTATGGGTTCTGCGCCTGTGCACGAACCCGACCTCGGAGAACTACAAGAGCTAGCCTCTGGCTTTTGGCGTGCTCTTTTCCCGCTCCTGGAGAGCAGGCACCAACAGTGCATGCCTGGAGCAGGGAAAGAACGGTCTGTCGAGATTTGGTCGCCAAATGTACAACAACAGAGTTGGGTGCCAGATAAGAGAAGAAGAATTTCGAATCCAAAGATTGAACCTGACAGAGGGACTCAAAGCGCTTCGATGCTGGTGTAATGGAAGCGGGTTTTTCCCATGCTTCTAGGTGCACCGGGAGCATGGGCAGGAGAGACGCTGGTGGAATATCAGACTGTCTGAGCTTATGCACGAGATCGGTAACAGTCAGGGCATCATTATGAGACTCTTCCAAGCAGAACAAAGGAATGGAATGTCCCTCAGTGAATGGGAATTTTCCCTCACAATTTTTGCACCTCTTGAAGTGAATCTTCCCTTCCATGCGCCACGCGGAGGCTGATGGGGGGGGGGAAGCCAGAAGAAGGCGGTTGAAACCGAGGAGAAAAACTCACAGAAAGTCCTTCTGTTTTTTTGGTAGAAGAAGACGAAGTCGAAAGATGAAGGGAGACGGTGATCAAAGGAAAAAGGTGAAGATGACCGATGAGGTAGCTCCAAGGGAGGAACGCAACGAGGTAGGTCCGGACAGTGTGGCGGTCAAGAAGACACTGAGTGGGAGGGTGTTTTCTCCCCACTCCAGGCATGCGCAGTTGGTGCCTGCTCTGCAGGGGCGGGAAAAGAGTGCGCCAAAAGCCAGAGGCTAGCTCTTGTAGTTCTCCGAGGTCGGGTTCGTGTGCAGGCACAATACCCATGTGTGGGACTGCACAGTGGATCGGTATTGGAGCCAGTAGTATTTAATTTATTCATAAATAATCCTAGGGGTGAATAGAGTAGTGGCCAAATTTGCAGATGACACAAAATTATTCAGGATAATGAAAAGCAAGGCTGACTGTGAAGAGCTCAAAGAGGATCTCCACTAACTGGGTGAGGGGGCAACGATGTGGCAAATAAAGTTGTGTTGGTAAGTGTAAAATGATATTATAATGCCCCTGTCTAGATCTATGGTGCAGCCTCGTTTGGAATAATGTGTACAGTTCTGGTCACCATATCTCAAAAAAGGCACTGCAGAGGTGGAAAAAGTACAGAGGAGGGCGACCAAGATGATTAGGGGGTTGGAGCACTTTTCCTAGGAGGAAAGAAGGCTGGAGAGTCTCTGGGACTTTTCAGTTTGGAAGAGAGATGACTGGGGGGGGGGACATAAGAGAGGTTTATAAAACTATGCACAGGGTGGGAAGAGTTGACAAAGAGAACTTTTTCTCCCTCTGCCAAAACACTAGAACTCTTGGGTAATCCAATGAAGTGGATGGGCAGTAGATTCTGGACAGACAAAAGGAAATACTCCTTTTCATAGAGTGTGATTAAAATGTGCAATTTGCTGCCAGAGGATGAAGTGATGGCCACAGGAATGAACAGCTTTAAAAGGGGATTAGATAGATTCATGGAGAATAAAGTCCATCAATGGCTAGTGACGAAGGAGAACCTCCGCATGCAGAGGCAGTCAGCCAATGAATCCCAGAGCCAGGAGGCGACATTACGGGAAGGCCTCAGCCTCCAAGCCCTGTTGTTGGCCATCCATTCCAGAGGAACTGGTTGAGGCCGCTGTGTGAGACGGGATGCTGGACTAGGTGGACCCTCCCTGGTCTGACCCAGCAGGGGTCTTCCGATGTCCACAGTTCAGTTTTCGAGCTCCCTGTGAGCTGCATTCAACAAACTGCTCACGAGCCCTCCGCAGCCCCCTCCTGCTCATTTTCCTTGGTTCTTGCACCGCCTTCTTGTGGTTCCCCCCCATCCCGTTCACCACCACCACCACCACGTCTGTTGCGCGTCACATTTCCAAGCACATGAAATGTTTCACAGCAAGCGACTGACGTATGTGAGGTTTCTCCCTTTGTTCCTTACCTAATCTGGGGGGTGTTCGTTTACAGGAAAAACAAGGACTCTATCTAGATTTGGGAATAATCCAGGCACCCGCATTAGTGCAATGCTTTGCCATGGCTGCCCCCTCCCCAAAGTCATTTCTGCACAAAAGGGGGAAAAAAACTGATAAAAAAACTAGGCTGTTCTCCCCACTAGACACGAGTTCTCCTGAGCCAGAAGCATTTCTTTTCCTTGGTGGGGGCGGCTTATACAAGTTCTTGTGTTCATTAAAAAGTTTTAAAAACCTGCACTGTTCAGAACAATCACACTGCCAGCACAAATTTAAATCAAGCTAATGTTCCCTTAATTCACATTTAGCCACCTTCTGTGTCGTGGTCAGAATGTGGGATTAGGGAGACCCAGACTCAACTCCGCCCTCTGCCATGGAAGTCTGCCAAGTGTCTTGGGCCACTCCTCCTGTCTGACCTACTCCACAGGGTGGTTGTGAAAACATGGTGGAGGGGAGAAGAAGAACGTCAGCCACTTTCAGTCCCTGCTGGGGAGAAGGTCAGGGGACAAAGAGCAGGAAGGGGAGGCTTCTGTGCAAGGGGCCAGTCGGTCATTTCAGGCTGGAACAGGGAAAAGCTCTGCCAGATTTAAGAAACACCCAGAAACACCTGCCCTTTCTGGGGCAGAACCAGAGCAAGGCTGCAAGTTCCTAACCCCCAACATGGCCAGAGGACTCGTCCTGCCTCCAGAGATGCCTGCCCGGGTCAGCAGCAAGCCGCCTAAATTATCTGGAAAAGTTTCATATAGTGAAAAAACTTCTGTACCTTTAGAGGGGAAAAACAGCGCTAGGGAGAAACAACAGATTTCAAACTCATAAAATACATCCCTCCCCCCTCCCCAACTAATGTATTAATTCACTGAATCTGAGAAAAAAGCTGAGAAAGCCCGTGCTGCCAGATATCAAGGGAAAAATTCAGTAAGAATCCTTCAAGGGCATATGCATCTGGCAGGTCACTCTCCGCCTTGCCACATTCAACAAAAATACAGTTTTTTGGGGGGGATCTAACATGTCTTACAGCAAAAACATCCAGCTGAGAGTCAGCTGCACAGGACAGTCCAGGGTTTACCACGGCTCTGGCTTGAATTGCGTCTAAAATCTCCATGGGCAAAAGGTAAGGTGATTTCGGCCCGTTTCCCCCTCCCTCCTGGCAAGATTCCCCCCCAGGTCATTCCAGGGGGGGGGGCGCTTTGGTCTGCCACCGAAATTCTACCCAGGCCTGTGCGTTCCAACAATGGGCCAGCTGGCCTTCAAAAGAAAACAATTCTGCAATAATCCATGAATGCCTCCCAGTTCCACCTTTGGTTTGTCTTAGTAACAACGCAGTGGAGGCAGGCCACAGTTATTTCTGTGGAGCATATGAGGAAATGATAGTGAGATTTTCTTGTTCTTACCTTCAAACACTTGGTGACTGTTTCTAAGCAAGGTCTGCAGGCCTCCATATTCATTCCTCAGCCTTTTTAAAGTGTCTTCTTTTAAACGTGCTGCAATTTCACTCAAGGTGAGACTCTCTGCAGAAGACAATGTGAGACTTTCAGACTCAGGCCCCTGAGAACGGAGAGCCACTATTCCTCTGTGTGTCCTGCTGCACATGCCCTCACCTGGGCAGCCACAGGGCATGAAAGATTCGCATGAACCCCACGTCCTGTATGCCTTTCACTCTACAAGGACTTCCATGATAAGTCCTCTCTTGGGTGAGGAAAGCATCCTGGATTTTGGAGGGGATACTGAGCCTGCTTCAGCAGGGAGGGCGGGGTGTAAATCAAATAAATAAATAGATAAGTTGTGCTCCTCATCTTGGGAAGGAACTGCTGCCACCACCAATTACAGTTTATACTATTTGCTGTAAGATCATACATCTGAAGTCAGCTGAGGCAATGATGTTTACTCTGAGGTGTGGATGTCCCAGCAGTCGCACTGACTGTTCTCACACACATGTAGGCCCTGTATCGACCCCTGGAATTTTAAGAGGCAGGAGAATTACCTCTAAAGTCCAAAACTGTAACACTTGATATCAAAAAAGGGAACTTTACAAGAGATGAATGGACAAGTTAGAAGGAAACTGGAAAAAACTTCAAGAGAGTTCAGTTCATGTTTATTATGGCCAACAAGCCATTCAGAAGCATAAAGAAACACTTTTATAAATTAATTACCTACATAAGATCTCAGCATACGTAATTCATCTTAAAATAACTATTAGTGTTAGAATCTGAGTAGATTATACACAAGATGTTCACTCAGCGTGTATTTTAATTACACAAGATGTTAACTTGGCCTGTATTAACTCGGCAAGGATCCAGTATGGGGGAACCGGCCTGAGCAACCTCAAGAACTCTGTCCACATCAGTCAGGAAAGCCAATTTAAAGGTATCCATGGGATTCTGACAAGTTCCAATGACACCTTCAGCATCAGATGTATTCCTAGACTGGCATCCGACTGGATGAGAGAGATTTTCTCAGCAGAGGATCAGGCACAATCATCGCAGCTCGTTTCCCACTCAGAACACGCTGCCCAAAGTGCTTTTGTGCTCAAGGCACATGGCTAGTAAACGTCACATCCTGAACCACCCCCTACGGTTCGGCTGGCCAAGATGCAGCAGACAAAATGGCAGCAAAGTCGCCCTGAGCCCATATTTTGGGCTAGGGTGGGGTAGAAATTTGATAAATGAATGAATAAGTAAGTAAAGCTTCTTTGCGGCCTTCTTGGCCCTTAAATGTGCTCTATGGCGCAGTGTTCTGCCTGATTTTTCTCCCCGGCCTCTTCTTAGCTTCCAGCTCCCTCGTAAAGCAAAGGGCCGGAAGAGGGCACCAAGAAGCAGCTCCGCCAAACACACGCCGTAGATCAGCGTGCCTATCCCACTCGTGGGATAGGGTAGAGTATTAATTAAGTAACTAAATAAAAACAACACAAGGGTGTCTACAGACTCAATAGACGTGTATGACTCTGTGTTCTTCTCTCCATATGTTCCTCTCACAGGCCTGGTGCTCAGGAGGCAGGGGCCGATCCATTTCCCGACAATAAAAGCAGCCCTCTGGCCCCAAGGCCACGCCACAGAGGAGACAGCACTGTGCCTCGGGCTTAATTTGTGGCAGACTCACCAGGGATAAGGGCTGGGGTTTGTTTTTAATAACAAGGTTGTGAAACATGTGAGGGAAACTCTGAGCCCACAGAGAGGGCATTCCCCTCAGTACCAAACAACTACGGCTCCTTCCCTCACTCTATTCCCAGACGTTTGCAATTAAAAATCCAGGCTCACTAGCAATTTGGCACAGGCTTAAATTCCAGGACTCCTTGTCTTTCTGGAAACAAAGCATTTCCCTTATCTCCACTGCCAATGTAAGGAACAGAGAACTTTGGACTCCTCTACAGAAATCCACACACACACTTTTGAGCTCACAAGATCACCATTCTCTGGTCCCATCCCAAGAGGACAACCCTTTCCCAGAGTTCAGCCCAGAGTTGTTTTTGAGACCAGCAGAGACCGACAGTGTGTCCCTACACAAAACATCCCACTCTGCACCCCCCAACTCCTCATACCACTCTTGCACGCTACATGGAATTTAGAAGCTGAGAAAACTTTCAGTGTGTGCGCAGTTCACAGCACTACACTGTAAGAGCTTCAGGACATTCATTCAAAATGCTTTTAGATACCATCTTCGTACAAAGTCTGAGAAATGCAAGTCTCATTGGAATGGCTATAATGTAATTTTGATTCATGGCACATTGACACCTTGTGCATTGAGCAAACCCTTACCTCCTCGACTCCATGCACCTGAAGTTCCAGGTACAGCTTGGATTCCACTCAGCAGTAGGTTTGCTACTTCCAAGACCACGCTGTCCACAAAATCTTTAGGGAGAGCAGTGCAGTTACGGACTGGTTCCTTCCCTCTAGGCTGAAACCCAGATATTAAGGCTCCCGCCACATCCGTATTTTTCAGTACTTCTCTGCCTGCAATTAGGCCCACGTCCTGGCTTGCGGCTGGCTGACGCTCACTCCGATGTCCCCCTTCCACTCCCCCTGGCGCTCTTACGCTGTGGCACTGGCGGCTGCGGATATAACGTCCTTGCTGTTCATCGAGTGCAGCACTTTGCGATGGGAGATACGTTCTAGACTTTCCAATTAAGCACACCTAAAAACAGCAGCAATGGAATTCCTCCAGTTTTAATGCTGATCATGGAACAAATTATTAATTACCCAGAACACAAATGAGTGCCTACCCAGAAGTTTTTCAAGGTCACATACTCACAGGTTTAAAGTGACCAAACACCCTAGATAATGACTTCCAGCACACAATATCCTGCTACAGATAATCCCCCTCCATAGGGGCAGCTGCAGTTCCTTATGGACTCTTGGGCAGAGTGTCCCTCTTATCCTCCGATGCAGCTCCCTTCTCTTGTGACTACTCTGACGGGAGCTATGACTTTCTCATGTTCCTTTCCCCCTAAATCAATGCCTAAAAGGATAAAGTTCTCCTGTGCCCAGTGAGAAGGCCTCTCTTGAATGCTGCTTTCCCCACCATCTTCAGACATGCCTCCAACAGGGAAGTGGCAGACCAAGCAGGCCGCCACGGCTTCAAGGTGGGCCCTCTGCTGGGCCATGGGCCTTGGCAGGTGCTCAAGCAGACAGACTCCTGCTGCCAGGCCTGGCTGTGAGCCGAAACTGTATCAGCTTCGGCACCCCAAAGAAGAAGAGGAGAGATTGTATTTATACCCCGCCCTTCACTTGGAGTCTCAGAGTGGCTTACAAACTCCTTTCCCTTCCCCTCCCCACAACAGACACCCTGTGAGGCGGGTGGGGCTGAGAGAACTCTGACACAAACTGCTCTTTTTCAAGGACAGTTGTGCCAGAGCTTGTGACTGACCCAAGGTCACATCAGCAGGTGCAAGTGGAGGAGTGGGGAATCAAACCCGGTTCTCCCAGATTAGAGTCAAACTGGCTCTGCAAAGCGGACTTGAGCCTCTAGCTTAAGTGGTCCACAACTGCAGGCCAAGGTAATGCGTCCTGTCCCCCCCCCCTTGCAAATCCCTCCGGCCTGTGGGAGAATATTTCCTTGTTCTAAACATGAATCCCAGCTAGACTCTGAGCACCCAACTCCCGAGCCTTCTTCAGCGTCAAAGTTCACTGGCACGCAACTCCACCCCAACTAATCTTTGGTCTCTGGCCGTGACAAGGAACCACAGGGAAAGGGTGGGTGTGAGAGAGAAGTATGCCTGCAGATGGGGAAACGGGAACAGCCTCCAGAGTTGAGAGTTCCAGCAGGACTTGGGAACACCACGGCGCATCCATGTGCAATGTTTAGTGTGTTTTAGTCCAGCAAGTTTATTTATCTACCTATAAAGATATAAATCCTCATTTGATGTAGTTTATGAGAAATTAACCTAAATATGCTCTCCCTTCCCTTCCCATTATTTAAAGGGAAAACCTAAAACAATATGCAGAAATGAAGCCCTTTACTGGGAAAAAGGCAGATGCAAAAATCTTCCCACCAACACAGCAAGACTGTGGATTGCCACTGCAATTTCACCCTCTTTTGGTGATTGAAAATATGGCAACAATCATGGTCCTGGCTTTGCTGTAGCCCTGCATCAAACATCACAAACATCATAGGATAATTAAAGTGCACTAAATAAAACAATGTCAATGGAAATTACCCTTTTTGTTGAGGGAATTCTAAGGCAATCTTCTTCAACATTAAAGCCACATACAAGTCCCACTTCTGTAACAAAATCAAGATATTCTCTGTACTGAGTCTTCTTACTTTGCCTCCGGATATACTTTCCATGGAAGTCAAAAAAGCAGCAAGGTAGTACGAAATAGCAGCAAGAATACGAAGACCTGCAACATGATGAGGTGTTAGCAAAGGCACCCTTCCCCAACTGGGGTGTACAAATATTCCCATCAGCCTAAAAACTGTCCCACTTCCTGGATCTGGCACCAGTGATAAAGATTTCACTAGATTCTCAGATTGATCCCCTCAGTGCTCACTGATTCTCTTGAGGTCACAAAATTTTAGAGGAGGCAAACTAAATTAAGCAAGTAACAACAACAACATTTCTATTATAATTTTTTTCCTTTGCATTAAGAACATAAGAATATAAGAGACGCCAATGTTGGATCAGGCCAAAGGCCCATCCAGTCCAACACTCTGTGTCACACAAGCAAGTAACAACAACAACATTTCTATTATAATTTTTTTTCCTTTGCATTCTACCGAAAGAGCGGATTTACTGAAGGAAGTTATGCTGACCATCCGCCCCCTGTCTTTTTCGGCACCTCAGTCACCACCCCCTATAGAGGAAAGCCTGAACACCAGGTCCTAACGTCACAGTAATGGCGACCCGTGTAGTCATAACATTCCCTGTGTGGCTGACTCGAGCAGGAGACGACGACGCTGGTCTCTTTCTCCTGGGAGGGACGCTGGTCTCTTTCTCCTGGGAGGCTTTCTGGAGTTGGTTTGGGGTTTGTTGTTTTTTGTTTTGCACAGTGGCCATTTCCCCAAAGCTTCCCTTCCCCCCCTGTCTTCGCAAAAGAGAGATGCTTGCAAAAATCAGGGTCCCCCCCCCCTCATTTTGGAATGGAATACCGACAGATTGGAGGGAGGGGGAGGCTCTGAAAAAGTTAATCTGACCGGAGCGGGATGGGATGGGGGGGAAGTAGTCGGTGGGGGGAAGCGGAGTCCCCTCGGAACTGTCTGT